GCCTCTCAAAGGGTAAAAGTGTAGCAAGTCCATGCCAAATGGTTTTTGAAATTGAAGCCTCGTCTAGGAGAACGGCTGTTGCACTGATTTGCGGAGAATCCATCAGGGTTACTCTACGAGCTTCTTCCGGCGAGATCTACTCCTTCCGATTTGGCTTTGATGCTTCTTGATCGAAGGCTACCTCGAAACTGGCCACACGGGCCTTTCATGGTGTTTGTCCGTTGAACTTTCCGAACATTCTGAACGGGTTCAAACTCGGAGAACAAGTAGATTGAATCTTGAGGCTAAGAGCGATCCTAGGTTGCGCAATCTCAAGAGTGATTCCACACAGGTTTTGGTAGGGCCGCGTAAAACATTTGCTTTTGAAAGTTTTTAAGAAAGCGACAAATCGCTCGCGCCGAAGATAGTGTGGAACCAATCTCGATCAGGCCAGGATCCTTCCCAGTACTCACGCCGACAACCATGATTTCATTCATAAAAAGACTTAGCATGCCTCTCTTTCTCTCAAAATGATCAAAATTTTGCAAAACCCAAGGAATTCCTTCCTCTTCGTTTTTATCACCGCAGTGTTCAAAAAGTTTTTTAGAAAACTTAGGTTAATGCAATGAGTTTGGCGCGCAGGAGAGCAGGCGAGATGTACTGTCAACCCAATCAAATTCTCTGGCACTTATGCTGAAAGCAAGCATGGAGTTTGAGATAGCAACAGCTGTTTTGATCGGCTCTGTCGGTGCAACTGGCTCCTTGGCAGAAACAGACTCAAAACAAAAACAGATAATTACAAAACAAGACGGTGTTCAAGGCAACAACCCCTGAATCACCTGGTATTATATACAACGGGGACTGACTCGATACAACAAGACAGACCCTTAAAACAGGTAATAATTACAAAACAAAATGGTGTTCGGGACAACAACCCCAGAATCGCCAGGTATTATATACAACGGGGACTGACTCGATACAACAAGGCAGACCCTTAAGCAAAAAAGACTGACTCAAGACAAAGAGACAGACTCAAAACAAAACACTGACTCGACTTCCAAGCCAGGATTTACAAAACTCGGTTTCACCGATGCTCAAAAATGCGTGCCAGACGCTTCACCAAAAAATGTATCAAATGTTGCCCGCAGGCGGTTCACTTTACATACTCGCAGTATCTGAGCCCTCGAAATCCAACAACTGAGTGGTGACGGGCTTGCCTGAGGTAGGTGGTAGGATAACCTTGTTAAGTGTTTGGTGCAAAACCAGACACTAAACGTGTGGTGGACTCGTCTAGCCAGGGCCGAGGATCAGGAGACGAGAGGGAAGATTGAGGAAGAAATGTTGGAATCGGTGGTGGGGAGATTCTTCGGGAGTGGCCGGGGCTTCAAAGGCTTAAGATGCCCATTCTTCGCCAATATTAACAATGCCCTAGACAAAGGCATGTGGAGGTCGTGAAAGACTCTGCGCCCTCGAGGTAGGTACTTTGCAGTTTGAGGATTCTTGCCAGATGCGCTGGCGAAAGGATCGGCTGGCACTGCCTTGGCTTTTTGAACCTTCCCCGATGCAGGGTTGGGGACTACTGGAATTGTCTGGGCATGACGGGGCCCATCCCGGTTTTCTGCCTGGCTTGAACTGCCTTTGGTTGGAGCGGGGAGAGCATCATCTACAGCTTTGGTCACTATTGCAGATGTTTGTTGCTTGTTCATCCCTCTGGCCTTCAGAGCCTCGACTGCCCACAGCAGTTGCTCAATGGGGTCGGCGTCTATCTTTGTCTTGTCCTTTCCTTTGGCCTCAGCCTGATCAAGGGTCTGGGTTGGTGCTGGCATGCCGTGGCTATAACCGGAAGTCACCTCTGGCTGGCTGAGCTCTATCACAATCCGCCCCAGTAGCGGGGGCTCTTGTGGTACAAAATTCCCGGCATACGGCGCCGCTGGCGGTGAAGCCGACATTCCATAGGCGAGGTCTGCCACAGACCTTTGGAGATCGCCTATCATCCCCATCAATTCGAAGGTGGTGGGTTCACGAGCCTGGTATAACTGGAGAGCCCAGACTGGGTGCACAACGGGCGACCTGGGCGGATATGACATACTGATGCTGGCCTCATTCTGCAGAGTGGTTCCCTGCTCCGGTGCGGCTGTCATAACCACAATTTCTTCTGAACTTTGTGCCGCCATAAATCCTGCCTCAGCAAAAAGGGGGGACACTGGCTATTCCGTATCAACTCTGCAACTCTCTGAAATGAAAGAAAAACAGACAGCATTTCAGCCCAAACTGATCAAACACGGGTGTAGCCAAACAACTGTTCCCTACTGCTGATCACTGTTCCCAGATTTCTGTTCCCCAAAATACTGAATCTGATACCCGCGGATAACTGATTCCTACAATTGATACTCAACAATACTGATTCTGGCACCTTCGGGCCCGATACTCAAACTCGCAAACTGGTATATGCGTTCCTGTAGAGATACACTCTAAAAGCACATAGCAAGTAAAGAGAGCTCAATCACCCCTATGTTGGGGTAGGGTTTCCCTGTCCTATTTAAACCCTAGAACTCAAACCCTAACAATGGCTGTCCTCCAACTAATTTTGTCAAGCCTTGGGTCTTCAAATTTTGACAAAGTTTAGGGCCTCCAACTAATTTTAATTTTTATGGTTCTAGTAGGCTTAAAAATAAATGCCTAAACTAACTAATTGAAGGGCAAATTACTCGAGAGTTCTTTTTGAAAAGTATGTGTTTTATTTAATTTTAAAACTTTTTAGATGGATCTAAAAGTCCTGTGTCTATTTATCTCTTCCTCTTTCTCTGCACAGTTTTTTTTTTCTTTTTTTTTTCCCTCTGATATCCAGCAACAATCACGACCACGTATTCCTTATTTTCTTTCTCTTTCTAATCTATAGTCACTGGCAACCACCATTGATTGGGGTTTACTATCAACCACCGAGCACCGACTCATTGCTTCGCACTCACCAACGTTGAAGGAGATGAGTTTTCAACGAAGAATATGAATAAATCTACTCAGATCTACATCAGATCTGAGTAGATCTACGTTAAATCTAGTTAGATCTAAACAAAAAAAGTTGCTGGAGTACAAACCTGTCTCAATACCTATCTCTTTCCTTTGATCTTTCAGTTTTTTACTTTTTCTATACTACACACTTCTATTTCCTTGTTATAATGAAGAAAATTTTTAAATTCTGAACAAATTGTTTTCGAGTTTTACAAGCGGTGAAAATTATAAAATTTTACAGTTTCAATTTTTTTGGTATTGAAATGAATAATTCTTTAGTACTGTAAAGTTTTACAATTTCATAGCATACTTTTCAGTTTGATTAATAATGATAAATGTTTAATAGAATCATGCTTTCAAACTATAAAATGTTACAGTTTCAAAACTTATTTTTCAATTTGATCAATATTAGAGATTATTTGCTTAAATCCTACAAAAATTGAAAATAATATATGTTTTTTTCCTATTGTTGTTGTTTGTTATTCTTAGTTTTTTTTTTTCTTCTTCTTCTTTTAGTTTATCAACATTTAGCATATTTTGCTATACTTTAATTTCTCAGTTTATCCTTTTTTGGGGTGATATTTTGGACATTCCGGTGAGTCTTCAGTGGTATTCTTGACGTTTAGCGAATATTCTAGATATTTCGGCAACTTTCGGAAAACGTTCAGAACATTTCGGCAATATTCTGGCAATATTCCAGCAAAATTCTGGTCATGTTTCGGCGACTTCTCGGTGATGTTGAATATTCTGACGAGTCTCCTATGACTATCTGACGGAAGTCTAGCGGTGATAGGATGTAACACCGTCTTTAATTTTTTTTTTTAAAAATAGGATTTTTTTAATAACAATTAAAAATATGTAGGATTAATTGGTATAAGTATTTTATTTTGAAATTAGATGAGTTTTGAATTTTGTGTATGAAATTTATTAGTAACTTTCCTTAAAATTTATTATTAATATGTAAATATATTTTTTTTAAAATTACATTGAAATGAAACTTCTGCATTTATTTTTAGGGTGCACCCTCTAAAATTTATTAATTTTTTTTCTCACGTTGAAAAATTACATCCCATTTTTTAGGCCTTCACTGGTGACAATACTTTACCTAACCATTGCACCACATTTTTCAACTCTCGATCAGCACCCACTATCAAGCATTTTAATGTGTCACCGAAGAGAGTTGAAGAATATTGTGGTGGTATAAAATAAAAGAGGAATTAGTGGTGGATAGGTGAAAATGAGGATATAAAATGAGGATAATATGATAATTTTATTTTTTTGTTAGGTTAATTGCAGAAAGGGGAGTATTTATAAATTTCAAAATAATGGGAGGAATTCATATTTTTGATAAATTTGAAGAGATGTATTTATAATTTATTTATTTATATGCAATGGGATTGGATTATTTCAAGTTGTAATTTATTTATTTATTTATTTATATGCAGTAAGTTAGTTAATTAGATGGGATTGGATTATCTCAAGTTGTCCATCTAACTTGAGAAAGAGTTTGAGCTTGGTGGGTCCATTTCGGGGCCGACTTGGGTGGTTTAAACTATTCAATTTTTAAGATTTGTTAAGTAGAATAATTATACAAAAAATTAAAATAATCAAATATCAACGTATGATGAATTATATTTGTTTTAAAAAATAGATAACAATTATAATTTCAAAAATAACTATTCATTTTCTATAATACAAATGTGATTTAAATATATAACTATCAATATTCGATCGTTTTAATTTTTTATATAAATATTTTAATTAATAAATATTGAAAAATAAACGATTTGAATTAACTGAAGCGCACCAAAATGGTCCATTCAAATAAGTTGTTGAAATAACAACCTTGATGAAATCCAAACCCAAATAATGTATATACCATTTCTCTAAATTTATTTTTTGCAAATCGCTTTTTCCTTGTTTCTCTTTTCCATATCCCCTTGTAAAATCCATGATAGAAACATAACCTGTGTGAAATTAAGAAAGAAGAACCGAAGAGACTGAGAGAAACCATGGTGACTGAATTGCACTTTACAATTTCATTATTATCAGAGAAATTGCAGAATCTGCTAGTGCTTGCCAAGGGAAGATTTTTAATCTTTCCTGGACTCAGAAACAGCTTGCGTGTTGCCATCAACGAACTCAAATTGATTTTGAGCTTCCTTGAAGTCGAAGCAAAGAATAATACCAGTAGTGGCAATTCGTTACAAGCTCGTATTCTTCCTACTGTTTACTTTGCAGAACACATCACCGATGTTTTCCTCCTAAATGCAAACATAACAAGAAGAAGATTAGATAGGGTTAGTGCAGCTTGTCAAATTATTCTTCAAAAAGCCATTAATGGTGTTTCCACTGCGGACCCAAGTTTAATTCACCACCAAAATGAAGAAAATCGTAAATCATTTCAGAACTTTGTACGGTGAATTTGCAGATTGGTTAGAAGCATGTCGCGCTCAAGATCTCACAACCAATACTACACTTGAATTTGATAATCACACATTTAGTCGAGCAATTGCAGGGTACCGACCTGATAATGACGTATTTGTTGGACGCGAAGATGCTGAAAAAGAGATCGTAGCACGATCGATCGACGACAACGAGAAAAGCCTCCGCGTGATTTCACTAGTCGGCAAAGAAGCAATCGGAAAGACAACTCTGGCAAGAAAAGTTTACAACAGACTAGACATTCGGCAGCATTTCCAGTGCCGTGCTTGGCTCCATGTTCCGAAAGAATTTTCATACAAAGATGTATTGCTTGTCATACTCCGACAGACTCCAAATTTATTGAAAGACATAGAGCTAATGAAGGAGAACGAACTCTCAATCTTCCTTTTCAAGATTTTAATGGGGCTCAGGTTTCTAATAGTCTTGGATGATATCTGCACCAATGATGACTGGCTCAAATTTGTGCGTCCCTTTGCAGACGCCGCGAATGGTAGCAGAGTCATAATCACTACTCGTGACTCTAAGGTCGCGTCGGAGGTAGATCCGTGGAGTCATCCTCTGAATCTGATGCAGTTAACAGAAGAGGATACTTGGGCATTGTTCTTGAACAGAGCGGTACCAGAAAATGGTTCACAGAATAATTTAAACAATGTCAAGGCCGAAATTCTGAGTTTATGTCGCGGTTTGCCTATGGCAATTGTCTTGTTGGGAGGCTTGTTGTCGACTGTGGAATTAAGCGAGTGGTCAACAGTCATTGATCATCTCCGTGCTCAAGATCATCATCATTTCTTAAAATGTCTTGTTGATTTGAGCTATGAAAAATTACCATCTAGATTGAAGCTTTGTTTTCTTTATTTGGTTATGTTTCCTAAATCGTATGAGATTTCAACGCGGAGGTTATTGCAGTTGTGGTTTGCTGTGGGGTTGTTCAAACATCGAATGAACCAAGCATCGACTCTCAAGATATGGCCATGACATGTTTGAAAGAACTAGAGCGAAGAAACATGATTGAAATTGCGGAAAGGAAATTAGGCGGAAGCCCCAAGACATGTCGTGTCGTGTTTCCTCTACAATATCTTCATCACGTCCACCGTCTCAATTCAGATTGCACACTTGCAGATTCACATATTATTTGGAGGATTGCAGATCAGTTTCTTAGGGTTAAGTCTACTTCAGAATCTCATACTCAAAATCTATGTTCTTACGGTTCTTTTGAAGCCCAAAAGTGAGTTACATCCAACACAAAAATTGGTAATTTCCTTAATTCACTAGTCAGTAAGGGGAAAAGTTTTGTTCCTTTGAAGGTGCTTGATCTAGAGGGTGTCTACAAACCTTGGCTACCCGAGAAACTCGGCCAGTACTTGAAGAACCTAAGGTACATAGGCTTGTGATGGACCGGCCTATACACATGTCTGGAGTCTATTAGGGATTTGCAATGCCTAGAGACTTTAGATTTGAAGTATACTAATATAACCACTTTGCCAAGTTCAATTTGGAAGGCAAAGAGCCTTCGACATCTTTATATGACCGGGGTGTCCATTCAAAAGCCATCATCGAAAGAGTCTTTGACTTCAACATCCAAACTTGTGACATTAACGGGGCTCGTGATTGGTTCTAAAGAGGAATCTGATGAAGAAAATGACAACTATCGCTTGGACCGGTTCACATGCCTAAGGAAATTAGGACTCACTTGCCATTCTAAATCGGTAGAGAAAACAGTTAAGTGCATTTGGCGACTTGACAAACTTGAAACCTTGAAATTGAGATGAAGAGACCTTCCATTCGGGTCAACCTTCAGACCTCGTGTTGAGTCCTTTAAAAGACCATCAGACTCAGTCAAAATTGCATTTGTTTGGACTGATAAAAGATGGGACACACAATCTTCCTCTCAATCTCAAAATCCTAACATTGTCGATGTCGGGACTAAGAAAAGATTCGATGCGTGTGCTAGGGAAGCTGCCTCGGCTAAACATCCTCAACCTTTTCACACGCGCCTATGTTGGGGAGAAAATAAGATGTCTTTCTGGGGAATTTCGCGAACTCCGCGTCTTGAAATTGTGGAAGCTGGAAGATCTAAGGCAGTGGACAGTGAGAAAAGGTGCTCTGCCCCAACTTGTAGAATTAGAAATTAGAGGCTGTGATAATCTGGAAAACTTGGAGGGGTTAAAGGAGCTGCCTGAATTGAAAGAATTGATTTTAACAAACATGCCACAAAAGTTTGTAGCAGATTTGAGAGAAAAGTTGGACAGAGACAGAGACATAGTAATCACCAATGAGTGGAAGTCTTTCTCTCTTGCCTGTAAGTTCAATTTCTTCACTACGATGAAAGTTTTTTTTAAAAAAATTAATGCATGTTCGGATTTAGATCTTTTTCATTACAGTTTACATGTAGTTCTGTAGTCAACAATAATACATTGAATTGCCAGGCTTTCCATTTAAAAATAGGGTAAATTACAAATACATCTTCTAAGGTTCGCTTAAAATACAAATTAACCTTGTGGTTTGAAAAATTACAAATATCTCCTTATTAGAATTTTTTATTTAACAGAATTAACTAAAAAAATAAAATTCATAATTGCTCTCCTATACAATAATAAAATTACCTAAATTATTAATTGAAACATATTTTTAACATCATTAAAAACTGTTAATTGACTTGATGATTTATTAATAAAAGGGGCGATTTGTTATGAAATTAGAAACCTAGGGGGTGGAATGTAATTTTCAAAACCACATGGGGCGATTCGTATTTTAATCAAATCTGGGGGTGTATTTGTAATTTACCTTTTAAAATAAAGTAAAATAAAAAATTATTTATGTTTAAACATGAACAAGACCATGGTTTTTGAGAATTGCTGTTATTGGATCATATGTCTAATGCTTACTCTCTCTTTTTTCCATCTAATTTGAGTGAAAATTTGGCTAGAAGGTTTGATATGACATTGTTTAAAAAATTATTATTATTTTTTTCCATCAAATCTTTTTTGAAAAATACCAAGTTTATATTTAGACCTGTCTTAATAATTTTTTATGAAAGAAAATCAACTCTAATCTTTAATCCTTTTAAAATTTCACCAAATTTGAACAAAAATATGACAATGATTAGAGATTATGTGAGTGTCTAAAAAGTTTAGACCCACCAATTTGTTTTGCTGAAATAATTAAAGATTAATCTAGCACAATCATAATATTTTCTAATAAAAATCACAATATGTTGTAATTTTTTCAACAAAAAGAAAAAAAAAATTATTTGTGACATATATATACGTTTTTAATGTAGGATTAGTGCTCATGGAAGTTGGAGGCAAATTTAGATTGCAGCTCGCTGATGAACTGCTTGGAAGTGAAGACAATCAACCACACTTTTAGAAAAGAAAATACTTATGTCGACGACCTAGCAAATCAAGAAATTCCCGCTAATGAAGAAACTCATATTTTTCTACATCCCCTCCTTGTATTTGTAATCAAATGTTTGATGATGCTGGCTAGGATGGTCTACTATCCTAGAACCTTGTAACCATTTCTTTTTTTATCCATAATATTACTGCTCTACTATTACCAAAAAAGAAAAAGAATGTCCATTTCGCAGCTTGCTCTTCACATCACTGTGCTTTTCTATGTAAAATAAAGTTGCAACTCTTTTTGAATTTGTGTTTGGCTTGATTAAATAAATGAAAATATTATATATATAGGGAAAAATAAGTTAGTTTATTGACTTATTAACTTATTTGGATCAAATTAACTCTCTATTTTTTATTTGTTTTTTCCATAATAAGCCAAAAATCAACTTACAAGTTACCTCTCAAAAATAACCAATATATATATATTATAATCAAATAGTTCAACATAGACCCATAATAATAGCATAGAGAAGGGAGTGCATTATACTAATTTTGTTATTGTACTTTATCTATTACAATGATATATATACAAACAAACTCAGAGTTTTCCCTGACAAATATATATATATATATATATATACTAGTTTAAAAAGGTTCGTGTAAAACAGGGTTATTATTACAGTATATTTAAGTTTTATATTTTGATAATTTTTTAAAAATTAAAATATTGTTCAATAAAATTGAATAGAATAAATCATTAGATATATGATAGAATTATGTGGTATGATATGTATCATTTTTTGATTTGTTATACACCTAATGATGTAGACTCCAATTCTATTACCATATCATTTTGGATAAATTTATGAGTCTTGAACATTTTTTCCGAATTTATAAATAACTAATTTTATTAATACATAAATCATACTTGCATAACAAATGATCAATTTTATTAATAAATAAATCATTAAATAAATTAACAATTTTTAATGATATCAAAATATTTTGCAATCAACCATTTTGTTAATAAATAAATCGTTAAGTCCATTAACAGTTTTTAATGATATGAGAAATATTTTTCTTTTTCTTTTTTTATTCACCCAAAAAAAGAAAATTATTTTTCAATAAACAATTTTGATAATTTATTATTGCATAGGAGAATATTTTTTCCCACTGCATATTGTGTCAAATTAAAATTTATAACAAACGATAGTTGTAATTTCTAATATTATAGAACCGGTTCATATTTTAAACAAACCTTATGGGTGTATTTGTAATTCGTTAAAAAATTAAAAGATTTATGTATCAAAATTGACCTAGAATGTTTGCGTAATTTTGAAAAAACCCTTTTCATAATTGATCAAGAATATTTGTGTAATTATGGAAAAACCTGTTGCATAATCAACTAAGAAAGTTTACGTAATTGCAAAAAAATTTCACTCAACATATATGTCACCTTTAGTAAATTATTCAAAATTAAAGGGTAAAATTAGGACCAAAAAAAAAAGATGAACCTTAAGCAACTAAGAGGTTCTTATATCTATACTAGTTTAAGAAGGCTCATGCAAGACACGGGCTATTATTGCATTGTATTTAAGTTTTGTATTTTGATAATTTTTTATAAATTAAAATATTATTCTATGAAATTGAATAGAAATATAATAGAATTATGTGGTATGATATGTATAATTTTTTGATTTGTTATACTCCCAATGATGTAGATTCCAATTCTATTACCATATTATTTTGGGTGAATTTATGAGTTTTTACCATTTCTTCCGAATTTATATATATATATATATATATATATGGTGTGTAACTTTTCTCAACAGATAAATATAAGACAAATACTAAGATAATTGTCCCATCTAAAGAAAATCATTAAGATAATTCACTGAACTAATAAACAAGCAAAAAAAAAGTACATATATATACAAATACCTAATTTTATTAATAAGTAAATCATTAAGCAAATAAATAATTTTTAATGATATGAAAAATATTTTTCAGTTAACCATTTTATTAATAAACAAATCATTAAGTGAATTAACGGTTTTTAATGATATGATAAATATTTTTCAATAAACAATTTTGATAATTTATTATTGCATAGAAGGATATTTTTTCCCCCTGCATATTGTGTCAAATTAAAATTTATAACAAACGATAGTTGTAATTTCTAATATTATAGAACCGGTTCATATTTTAAACAAACCTTATGGGTGTATTTGTAATTCGTTAAAAAATTAAAAGATTTATGTATCAAAATTGACCTAGAATGTTTGCGTAATTTTGAAAAAACCCTTTTCATAATTGATCAAGAATATTTGTGTAATTATGGAAAAACCTGTTGCATAATCAACTAAGAAAGTTTACGTAATTGCAAAAAAATTTCACTCAACATATATGTCACCTTTAGTAAATTATTCAAAATTAAAGGGTAAAATTAGGACCAAAAAAAAAAGATGAACCTTAAGCAACTAAGAGGTTCTTATATCTATACTAGTTTAAGAAGGCTCATGCAAGACACGGGCTATTATTGCATTGTATTTAAGTTTTGTATTTTGATAATTTTTTAAAA